GGGACATTGGTGAATAATGATTTTACATCAAAGAAACCATGAGTAAATTACGAGGAAAAATGTTTTTTAAACCTTTTTTACAAAGTCTATTGAAATTTTTTATGGTGTAAATGTATTGTCTAATAGAGGGAAAATCTAGAAACTAAATCTTTAGCTAATGGATACGAGGCATACCTAATTTGATACAATAGGGCGGAAGGAATACCACTTTTATGAATTTGGGAAGAGCATATAATCTGGCACATTCCAACAAATATTTACTAATGGATACGAGGCAGTACCTAAATTGATACAATAGGGCGGAAAGGAATACCACTTTTATGAATTTTGGGAAGAGCATATAATCTCACAATCTTATCCCATCTGTTGCGAATTGTGCCAGATTAATGCTCTTCCAAATTCATAAAGTGGTATTCCTTTCCGCCCTATTGTATCAAATTTAGGTACTGCCTCGTATCCATTAGCTAAATATTAGTTTCTAGATTTTCCACTCTATTAGACAATAACATTTACACCATTACACCATAAAAATTCAATAGAGTTTGTAAAAAAGGTTAAAAACATTTCTCCTCGTAATTTACTCATGGTTTCTTTTGATGTAAAATCATTATTCAACCAATGTCCCAGTGGAGGGTGCATTAAGATGTCTAGAAACCAGACTTCGCGAATTTCATTTCTCTTGCATCGAAATTGATGAGCTAATTTCTCTCACTCAACTCTGTTTGAAACAAACACATTTTGTTTTCCAAAATAAATATTACAAGCAAACTGAGGGATTAGCCATGGGAAGCCCCCTCAGTCCCCATCCTGGCTGATATCTACATGCATTATTATGAATCAAATTGTTTGAAACTTTAAACTTCCCGGCATGGTTCCGCTACGTAGACGATACTTTTACCCTGTTTGAAGGTAATAAGATGATTTAAATAGAGTTCTTTCAACAATAATTCTATTCTATTGATCCTGCTATTCAGTTCACTTTTGAACTTGAGACTTGCAATTCTCTTCCGTTTCTCGACATTCTGGTCACACGTAACACATCCAACTTCAGTACTACAGTTTACCGTAAACCTTCATCGGTTTGTCTTCCACCACACTTTAAATCATGTCATCCGACTAAACAAAAGTTAGCTTCATTTTATTCCTATGTTTTCCGTGCTCTTCAAGTTTGCTCTCCTCCAAACTAGCCCTTGATGAAGAACTAAATTATTTAAAAGCAATAGCTATTGACAGGGGGCTTTTCACCCAACATTATTAATCAAGCAGTTTAAAAAATTCTCATCTCAACACACTAAAAGCCACACTCTTATTTTAGGAGATTATAAAATTCTGTTGTCATTTCCCTTCTCTTTCCATCAATTAGCTATAAAGTTGCACATATTTTGCAGAAATTTAACTTTCGGGTTGTTTACTACTCTCCCATCAATAAAATTCCAACTTCTATACTCAAGGACCCCATTCCGGATATGAATTCCTGGGGTATTTTATAGGATTCCTTGCCAGTGCGGTTTAATTTACATTGGCCAAACTAAGAGAGCCTTAAAAAAAATTTCGCGTCAAGAACATGAGGCATATGTTAGAAAAAAGGAAACACAGAAGTCTTCTGTTGCCCAACATTGTTGGTCCGAAAATCACACTTTCAATTTTTCTTCTGCTGCCAAAATTATTCAAAAAACATCTTCCATTGGAGAACTGGATTTTCTAGAGGCATTTCACATTCATAAAAATCTTTCTGTTCTAGTTAACGATCCTAATTCCAATCCAAATTTGCCTTCGGCTTTTAGAGAAATTATGTTTTAGTTCTGGTTTCGCCAACAGATGGCGCCACTTGCTTATTCTTGTCCAGGCTTTCTTATCTTATCTAAACATTATTTCCTATCTTGTTCATTTGCGGTTTTGCAGCTGAAGATGATGGTTCGGTAAAACCATCGAAACTAGTCCTGTGAAAATTTTGTGAATTAACGCTGATTTTTGTTGTTTGACTTCTGAATCAGAAGTTATTTTGCTTCCATTATCGGGTCAGAATTATCTAACTCTGTCTAAAATGCGTTTAGATGCGTAATAATAAATATGATGTGATTGTAAATAGTATTATAACTACCGTTTTATAACTTCTTCAGATGATAGTTTACTTTTTTTTTTTTTTTTTTTTTTTTTTTGACGCGCAGTGATAAAATTCAATTCTCTTCAAAAGTCCTTGATTAAGAATTGCTAGAGATGGAAATTTCGTAAATTTCTTTCGCAGCACAATCCAGGTGAAAAGGCCCGATCGATTTCCCGATATGAAAAATATCGGCGAATTTTCTCACAGTGATTCTCGAAAAACAGCGCCAAATAGCCATGGTGATGGTATAGGTCAGCTCAGGATGACGAATTTTCACACCTTTGTGGGAATCAGGGTTAAAATCTGGATTAAGGTATTGGACGGATTTTGTGATTATAAAGTCTTTGGGGCATGAAGGTGTTCAAAACCTAGAGTTCTTGGCAGATTAAAGCTGAAAAAGAGGACAACGGAAATCTAATGCATCAGTATACTGCATATAATAGAGGTGAACACATTTTGCATATTTCACTTATCTAGTAACTATATTAATATATCACTACTGCCCTATCATTTATAATTTTTATTCTTGTATTTTTGATTCGAAATATCTCTGCAAGTATGTCTTTCTTAAGTTCTTCGAGCATGTTGCTGCAACTATAAGCAATATATACATTCCTTTCAAGTGCCTATGTGTAACATAAATGCGAGCCAGCTTCCATTAGAAAGCGCTTCACGAAGGTGTTCCTTCCCTATCGCGTTTTGCCGTAATCAAATAAAACAAACCTTTCAAGTATTTTGATTACCCCATTCAGCTTTATTTTTCTATAACTCAAGCCGCTTTTTCTATCCCTACTTCTTGTGTATATTTTTTCTATGGGAGTGTTATTGTTGTCACTTGCAGGAGGGCTATTTTTTGAAGGAAGAAGAGTATCACTGGTCAAGACCGAGACAGAACATAAGCAGGCAGCTACTGCATGCTTTGTCTAAATTAAATAATCAAAATCCGTCAGTGAAAGTAGCTCTCTTAAGGCTAAGTAGATATTGTTAACTTTTTTACTTAATCCCCCTTTATTTTGAAACTTATTTTATAGCAGCCTGCAGTGAATATTAACCGCATTTCTTGATTTTGGTAAGCAAAGGTAAAGTGAATTTTTAAAATACAGAAGCTTTGTAAAGGAGCGTTTTCGATTATTTTAATTTTAAACTGCAGTGATGATATGCACATTTTATACCGAAATATTTCGTTTTTATATTAGCACGCCATTAAAAAATAATTTTGGTTTCATTTTTAGCAAAAGAAACAGTCGTAAATGTGTTCCATATATTTAAAATAATTTTTTGCGTTATACGCCGGAAGTATTTTAAGATTGCTTTAACAGACTTTCCTAATGAGCGTTGTTGTATTGTTTGTATTCGTCTTCGTCATTCTTTTTTATGTAAATTAAGTATTTTCCTCAGGTATTTTTGTTAATTTATGCAGTGAGAAACAAAGAGCAGATTAGATTCTTTTACATGCACATAATTTACTTAAAAGTTATTTCAAGATTTTATAAATTACGTTATTTCAAATGATCGGAAACTGGACTGAAAACATTTGACAGCGCATAATTCATTTAAAGCAGCTTTACTTAATTATCAATAATTTCTTATTTCGTATGTAAAAGTATGATTTAATTTATTACCTATGCCGCCCAGAAGGGAAAGTTGTTAGTAAATTTAACTGCCGTGCCGAAGGGCTCGGGTTCGAATCTCGGAGAAGGCAGGGATATAATTTTTCCGTCCACTTACAGGACGCAACGGTGGCCCACTTATCAGGTTCTTCCGTAATGAGAAGACCACTGCTTTCGGCCTTTAAAGTGTCAAACGCTTATAAACGGTTAGAGCCTACCCACTGGGGGAAATTTTCCTGTTGATTTTGAAATTTTAGCAGATATCAGATTATTCAGAATAATTATTTAAATATTGTTCTGTATCTATACCGATTTAAATGTAAAACATTTTCTACCTTGCAATTGCTTTTGGTTCACGATATATATTTAGAAATGCATACATTTTGAAAGAGGTTCCATATGTTTTTTCAAAGATGTCTACAGTTTCTATTAAACTTTTAAAGAAGTGAAGAATAAAGTAAATTACATAAAAATGATTTTAAACTTTAATTAATTTATGTAAACACATTTTCACTTCATATCTCTTCATGCTCAAAATTGTGATGTATATAATCTTATTTTTAAATAAATGCCTAATAATTTAGGTTATGACTAAGAATTTTTAAGGGGCTATTTTTCTTAATGTGGGTACATACTACGACAAGCAAAAATCCTTTTTCGCCACAAATACGCTTAAAAATGTACTAGATTTTGTATTTTAGAAAATCAACTAATACTATACTGGATAATATTGTAGAAAAATCAGTGGTAAATAGGATAGAAAATTCAGTGTTCCTCTAATTAAAAGAACTATCAACGCAGCAGTTTATGCGAATAATAAAATATATAATATTTATAATGAATTGTTTAAATCACTTTACAACGATATAAATGCGATATTAGCGTAAAGATTATGAATATAAGAACTAGGCTTTTGGCATTCGTTACGCGTAGGAAACAAGGGACGAAATGAAACTGTGTGCTTATATTCAAGGGGTCTACCTCAACATTTGTTCTGGTCACTAAACCGCCTCGGAAAAACCCTGCAAACTTGTTTCACACCTGATTACTTTTTCTTTTTGCATAAGATCTTCCTTCGAATAAACCCCCAGTGTTTGCAAAAGAAAATAATAATAAAAAAAATCTAGCCCCTTTCCGCATAACCACATCCCACCCGAAGTAGGTTAGTTGTTACAGCCATCAGTGCTTATTCGGCCATCACAAGATGGCCGTCGACTTCTACATTCGCGCGAGGTTCAGAATTGGAGCGGGTCAGCCTAGAATAAATGTTCTAGACCCCGCCTTCTTTCGACTCGCACCTCATGCGTGGGTTCGGAGACAGACTCTTCACAAGTCTCAAAGAATTCGGCCGATGAGGATCCAGTCGGGATTAATTGGGGATTACTCGGCTCTTGAAGTTTCGTAGCGGAAGAGTGGTGATCACGTTGTTTCCGTTTCCGACTTGGAATATGGATGATCTCGTTACTTAGGGATTATGCGAAAGTGTAGGGTTCTTTGTGTAGGTGCATCTGAAGAACTTCTGTAGAAAGCGGGCCACGTGAGTACAAATACTTTACAAATATTTAATTTCCTGTATGAATATTTCCATGCACACTCATTTTGCAAAAATAAAATCTTAATTATTTTTTTTTTCTTTCTTGAGTTGGCCCATGAAAATATATCTATTGTCCAATAAGACTCTCATTATGGTCTTAGCTATCCAATTGAGTTAAAGAGAATATTGCACTTGTCTAACATCAAGCAATCATATGCAATTTTATTTTTTATTATTTAGCTATGAGTTTGACTGGTCTATTATAACTAATAATATTTACTTCTAAATCATTCAAAGAAACTGTATTAAAATTTCCGATATGGAAAAAAAAAAAAAAAAAAAACACGAGTTCTTTTTCTCGGGATCGAAGCTACAAATTTTGAACCCAAGCAGTTTCAGACGCCTGCACTGGCTTTTTAGAACACTTAGGTTAATAAAATTTCTACTCAGTATTACGCATAATCATCTAAGCATATTTTTTACATTTATAAGTCTATCATGTTCAATTCCCGTAAATGAAAAAACAAATAAATTCTGCTCACATCTTAAGTATCCAAAATGTTTTATTTTAATTAAATATACTGAACTCAAATAGCGGATATACATATATAAGAACGATTTTCATGTTTTGATTTATGGCCAGCTTCAAAATGTGAGCTTTGTTTCAAAATGGAGTAATTAAATTTTTTTATTTGTGTATTTATTTAACGAATGCACATATGTAAGACGAGGAAAGAGGTCTTAAGATCAGCTGCAGTTATGTGAATAAATATACATAATACATGGAATATTTTTAAAAAAATATAGCTTCTAAGTATTTAATACATTTTTAGCAACAAAAGTATAATTTAATTATGATAGTTTTTTCGAATTAAATTATATCGAAAATGTATTTTTCAAACTTATAATGAATTGTTTATAATTCCATAAAACCCTTAATAAACACAACTCTTTTTGTACATACATATAAACGCAAGTGAAGTACAGTTGTGTTCATTGGTGAAAGACTATGTTTGACCCATGGAAAAGACGGGATGTCCCACCCCCCAAAAAATAATAACAATCTATATCTCTCATAATACTATATCGTCTCTCGCTCGTCTAGATGATAATAAAATAGATAATTTAAGTTATTAAAAATCTAACTAACTAAATTTGTCAGATAAATAGTTAAAAAGTACTGACAAGAATTAAATCATAATCTACCTAAACAGTAGTGAGTTTGAATTTTATTCCTTTACCAAAACAAGAGGAAAAAAGAATCTTTAAACTTTTATATTGAAATTTTTTAATCAAAGAAGGAAAAGCAAGTTTCTCTACAGTAAATTCATACAGATTTTAAGTTACCCCCCTCCCAAGTATGCCCCTAAAAATAGTAACTATTAAACTGTAAAGAATAATGTTACACAAGAAATTTCAAAACTCTTAGTTTTATAATATTATAGCAGTTGATGGGTTTCTAAAGTTAGTTAATACGAATCTATGAATGTTCATAAAGCAGATTTAAATACATGTTTACAGAAAGCTTACTCTCTGTTTAGCTGCACAGTAAAATAATTAGGAATGTGTATACCACATGTACTGTGTTATACAATTTCATTAATAAAAATATTCTCAATTCATAAAATCTGAAATTCTGGAAGTAAACTCGCTTTATATCTAATAACAAATGCATCAAATTTCGGAAGCTTTAAAGCGTACTGAACTGTTGCTATAATTTATAAATTTGAATGACAAATTGTAATTGATCATTGCTTCCAAGACATGTCTGAAATCCATTCTGAACATCCATAGCACTAATTTATACCATTTTAACTTTCAATTCAATCAATTCTTATCTATAACTTTTCATTTAAAAGTTACATTTGCAGGTGCCTCGTAATTATCTCAACCTCCTTAGCAGAAGTCGTGAAATTTTCAGAGTGTGCCAAAATCTGGCAACCATGCACACAAACATTCTTCAGGCAATCAGGCTCCTAACAATCTTCAGTCAAGCAGCATGCCATTTTCGTATGCGTTCCTTTTGTTGTTATGTTCCAAGAGATTTTTAGAGATAATTGTTATATTTCCTGCCTTCAACTCAATTTCAAAATATCGTTTGTGGAATTTGCCCACAAGGCGAGAAACTGAGGGAAAAGTTCTTCAGGTATGCAGTATTTCGCAGCAAACTTTCTAAAGGGAATAATGATGAGATGCATCTGGTAGACAACTGGAGAGCAGTGCCAAGTTTGAGCAATTCTTTCTTTCTTCTTTTTTTTTTTTTTTTTTTTTTTTTTTTTTTAAGCGAAAAAGAGATAGCTGTGTATATGAGGTGAACAGAGGTAAAAAGTAAGGCAAGTATTTCGCGGCAAATGTGTTTAACTTTTTTTCTGTAACATATAATTCTTATTGAATAATTAATTTTTTGAATTTTTGAATTGTTTTCTTTTTTGATATGATGACAATGCTTGCTGACTTGCCATAAATATCTATAGTTTGAGAATATATTTATAAAAAACTATTAAAAAAATTCAAAATTCACCAGCTTGAATTCGATAAGTAATGTTTACCTCTTCATCTGTAAAAAACCGTCAAACTTCGCCAAGGTAGTTGCGTAACACGTAAATACCTTAATATAAATTCCAGAACATCGTTAAAGTAATAACCGATAATTTTATTTTGAATTCATTTCAGTTTTATTCTCCTTGCCAAGAAATTGATCGCCAATAAAAATCTGTTTACAACAAAACACTGTAATACTGTAAACACTTTAGTGCGTTACTTTCCCAAAGATGACCACTTCTAGAAGAAATCTTTACTTCTAAGAAGAGAAATAAGCATCAGCTTTGAATATCATCTTTCTATGCAAAATATCCAAATCGTATGGAAACGTATGAAGTCGTCTTAGAGCAGTTTCACTGTATAATATTACTATAATTCCGAAATCGTCATATCAACTTTAAATAAAATTAAGTTGTTTTAAATTTCTTTTATTTAAGTTACCGTTTCTTTAGTCATATCACCTTTAAATAAAATGAATTATTATTTAAAATTTTAAAATTGTTGCATATACTTTTTGTAAATGTTCCCATTCCGGAACATAGCCACAAATGCTGTCAAAGTTCCTGTTAAAAACTGATAGACTTATATGATACATAATAATTGAGTTAAATTTGCGTTATAATATGTGATTTGTTTTGCGTTGAATAAAAAAAAGTGACAAGTTATCGATAAAAATAAAATTAATTTAAAACTAATTCATTCATGTGTTTCGTAATCTAAACAAAATCAGTTATATTGTTTTTAAATTTGATTTTCAAAGGTTATCACCCGAGATTTTCTTTGAGAAAGTTTATGCTTGCATTCGTTTCGCGAGCTGGTTTCCCATGGCCTGTAGCGTTTTCTTCAGTCTGTACATACTAGATTGGACATGACGTTGTCGATGCTATTTTTCTCGCATATTCTACAGTTGTGAAGGCATGACTTGACAAAGATAATTGTTTTAAGTATGGTTAGTCAAGCGTTGACGTTATCTTGCTCTGCAAATGTTAGCTTGAGTTGTATATTTCAATGTTTATTGAAATCTTTTCCGTTTCCGAAGATTTTTGTTTAATTTTTTGGAAACTGATAACGGATGTTACAGTGTAAGGGAAGATGTTTGAAGGTTATGTTAACATTTGATTTGCGTCTTTTATTTTCACCAAAAAGTATACTAGTGTTCCTTTGAATTTTAATAAATAAATTCGCTTTAGCATCACGGATATTATATATATTTTAACGGTAAATGATAGCAATACCTTACACAAAATATTTTAATGAAGTATTAAATGTTTGCTAAATTTTTCTGTTATGTCATCGCATAAATGTTTTCGACGATTGCTGTTCACATCAACTACTTTTTTCTGTCATAAAAAAAGCATTGTACTTTATAAACCATTCAATAGTTTATTGGTTTTATCATTTAAAATGTATATCATATGCAAGTTATATTTACGAGTTCTTTGTTTTGTATCAAAAGTACTGTTATTAACTGTTACAAACAGGCTGGCTGCATGGGCGTTTTTGTGATTTTCCGCATGTGTAATGCGTATACGAGCCAGCTTCCCTTAGAAAGTCCTCCACGAAGGAATTTCTCTCCTTAGGCACATAGTCCTCGAGTTCTTTTCCATAATTAAATGAACCTAACCTATCTATAACTTATTTTATAAGGTAGAAAAATATCTAAATAGGAAAGAACGCAGTTAAAAATATAACTTTTCAATTACAACTATTCATATTCTCGGATAGTTATTGCTTACTGTATGTCAGTGCATCAGGATTATTTCTTAAAACAGAATTCCCTGCACTATTTAAAGAATTATTTATTCAGCATCTGAAAGGAAAACTATTATTTCTTCTTAAACAACAACTAAGACTTCTAGTTATTCTAATATATATTCCCCTGAGAAATGTGTCAGCTTTTAAAATTTTCTTACAGATCTGATATTACATAGAATTAAAATTTAACTTTCCAGTGTAATACATTACAGGATTTTGAATGGATTTATTAACTATGGCAAAGTGCATTTTCCGTGGCAAAAAAAGTGGGAGGGATTGCTTTGTAGATGACTTCCTGAGGAAAACCGAATCATATTTAAGTGGATATCTTATCCACTGGTGAGCGTTTGTTAGGGGAAGTTTCCCGATTATTTATTTTTCTGGACTTGGGAAGTCCAGGAAGTATAGTCTCCTAATCTTAATTAACTCACCAATTAAATACGTTTATTAATTATAAATGTCTGTTTCGATTTCTTCTCATAAAATACTTTTAAGATGCGGCATTTGTTGCAAAGTTTGTAATTGCTTAATTTAATTGGTTATGGCATAGCATACTCGAGGCTATCGATCTAAGGGTAGGGATGACTTCGTGGTGGATTTTCTAAGGAAAACCTTTTTAGTATACACGTAACACACGGGAAAAACCACAAAAATGCCCATGCAGCCGTCCAGGGATTCAAACCTCGGACCAAACTACCAGTGTTCAG